TATTTATTTATTTATTTATTTATTTATTTATTTATTAAAACTGTATGCCACCCAACTCCCAATGACTCTGACTGGCTCACTGAAATTTCAGTAAAATCAATCAAAAATCAAAGATGGCAAGCACGACAGACCAGATAAAATATAGCAAGGGGTCTCGCTCTTCCTCACCAAAGGCCTGGGTGAAGACCCAGATCTTCACTGCTTTTCTGAACAGCAGCAGAATGGGGGCCATCCAGATCTTGGGGATAACCTCATTTCAGAGGACAGGGGTTGAAACAGAGAAGGCACACTTCCAGGATCCCAATACATGACATTGCTTAATCAAAGGAACCTGGAACATACCAACCCTACCAGGGTGAAGTGGTTGGGCAGATACTATGGGAGACAGGCAGTCCCTCAAGAAACCAGACCCTATGCCATGTAGGGATATACTCTGTGTGTGGATGTGTGGGTGTTAAGTCTTGAAATATTTGTATCTGATGAACTGTGGCCCAATCAAGGATATACATGCTTATTCTATGAGGCCGTTTAACACATAATCTGTAACATCCACAGATTGGCTGGGCTCCTATAACATGGAACAATAACATGGTAATTTTTAGCTTAGTGCAATGTATGAATCCACCTATTATGGTTTAATGTCCCAATATCCTTACAAAAAATGGGATCAGGTCTTCCCTTCCAAAGCTGGAGAGAAAGCACAGCTCTTGGAGATGATCTGACTGCCTCTTTCTAAATGCCTGCAGAAACTTACACTCTGCCATCAAATTCCACACTTATAAAATGCAGAAAGAATCAGAAAATGTGTTGCCAGTCAAATGGGAAAGGCTCATAGGGCATTATCAGACATGAGTTCAAACACACACATAAAAAACTCACCAGCATGGTAGGAGGGACCTGGAACCTGCTCCAATGTAAAAGGCCCAGCAGTGCCATCAACAGATCAGCAAGCTCCCATTCCAAGCAGATGAAAACCACATCTGGTAACCCTCTTCATCCACAGATATGCCCCCAAGGGAGGGAAGAGGCATACCAGCCCTGGAATTGGCATACAACATTTCTATACCACTGGAAAAGGATGATTCTCTAAGAATTCTACCACTTGTTTGATAATGGTTAATAATAGTCTTCCTTTCAAATGTATTTATTTATTTGTATGTGTATATCTGCTGCAGATCAATTACACAGGGGCCAGCATGAATCCTGCTAGGTCATTTGGGCCTGCAGTTATCATGGGTAAATGGAAAGATCACTGGGTAAGTTATTATACTTCAGTATTCCTTATTTTTCCAGAACATTTAATAGTTGTAATTGTTATTTTACTTTATTTTATAAAAAATAAATTATAAAGTGGCTTTCATGTAAAAAAGCACAACCTTTTTTTTTTTAATCATAAATATCTCTTATTCTTTTTAAGATTGCTAAGTCAAGATTATTTTCAGGGGTACAGCATCTGTGGGGAAGAAAGATCACTGGGTAAGTTATTATACTTCAGTATTCCTTATTTTTCCAGAACATTTAATAGTTGTAATTGTTATTTTACTTTATTTTATAAAAAATAAATTATAAAGTGGCTTTCATGTAAAAAAGCACAACCTTTTTTTTTTTAATCATAAATATCTCTTATTCTTTTTAAGATTGCTAAGTCAAGATTATTTTCAGGGGTACAGCATCTGTGGGGAAGGGGTCAAAGAAGTCAAAATTGATGCTTCACTGCTTGTTTACATTCATCATGCATGCAACCCAATAAGAAAGGGGCTTAGATTGCATGGTTGCAGCTGCCAACCTGACTTTTTGACCCCCTGCAGGCCTTCTTCATGTATTTGTAGTTTCTATCATGAATCAAAGGCTTCATTAAAAAGAAAACAGACTATGATCCAATCAGAATTCAGGAATACCAGTCATTCTTCATTTAACACATTTTCTTTGAGGAAAGACACAATGTATCATTGTGGAACAGCACAGCAAGAATATCTAAAACAGTGTTTCTCAACTTTGACCATTCTAAGATGTGTGGCCTTCAACTCCCAGAATTTCCCAGCTACCCATGCTGGCCAGGGAATTCTGGGAGTTGACATGCACACATCTTAGAGTTCTTAAGTTGAACTCTAAGAAACACTGGTCTAAAAGCTGTAGCTTAGTTTGGCTGTGTCTCAGTACTCATGCAATGTGCCAGTAATGCTTGTCCCATTGCAGAATGTATAGAAAAATCATCTACTGCTAAATCATATAGGTTGCTGGCTTTCATATTTTCTTCTAGAAGTATGAGAAGGGGTAATCAATCATGTCATTGTAAGTCATGTGCCAAAGGAACCTTACTGTTTGCCATTTTATTTATTAGCCACTTCCTAATCCTCCTGTATCAAATTTCCTCTCCTTCTGATTCTGTACAGGTATATTGGCTGGGACCAATTATAGGAGCTGTCCTGGCAGGTGCCCTTTATCAATATGTCTATTGCCCTGATGGTGAGCTTAAGCACAAGTTCAAAGAAGCCTTTACTAAAACAAGCCAGCAGTCCAAAGGAAAATACACGGAAGTAGAAGACCCCAAGAGCCAGGTGGAAACAGATGATCTGCTCCAGAAGCCTGGGATAGTCCACTTCATTGATCTTGAAAGGGGTGAAGATAAGAAAGGAAGAGATCCTACCAATGAGGTGCTATCATCTGTATGACTAGCAAGAAGCACTGAAAGCAAAGATCAGCCTGCTAGCATATCCACAGATAGTTTTCCACCTATAAAAGAGACAGACCTGTTGTGAATTAGTCACTTAAGATAACTTAAAAGGTAGGACAATATCATCAATGAATTAGCTGTTTAATCAGACCATACTCCCATTCTGTGAGATGATAGCAATGTTCTATATTGAGGGAACTTCATAAATTATGCCCAATCCATAAATAATCTTCTTGGTGAATTGGTGTAAGGAGAAATGAACGGATTTTGAAAGATACGTTA